CTCTCCTCTCCTCTCCTCTCCTCTCGGTGTCATAGAATAGGCAGGGTGGATTTTAACATGTAAGGTACTGCAGTGCTGAAATGTCCAAACTGAGAAGGAAGGTAGATTTGGGCTTTAGGATATATGTTTGCTGAATCTCAGGATACCATTTTCAATTTTTACATTATCATAGATGTGTCTAGGTTTCTCCTTATTACCTGCTGTCAACTTAATGATATAGGCTCTGTGACTTGTTGCTTATCAGCACATCAAAAGAGCTTTAATAAAAGAAATTGGTAGCCTGGTGTTCTTCTTGCCTCAATAAACTATAATGCAAAAAAAAAAAAAAGTAAATTTAATCCTTCATAGTTATTTTCTTCTGCAGCCTTTTGGTTTGCTAAAAATAAAAACCCTCTATTTTTTTAATAAGTTGTTGATGAAGTTTTCAGGTTTTGTTTTGTTTTTACAATGCAACATATTATTTCTTCTGAGGAAGATAATAACAGCTTGGTACTGCATAATCAGAACCAATATATAATGAAAAATATGAATAGTTGTTCATTTGATTGCCTATACTTCATTGTGAGGAGTCACCTCCAGGCAACTGGGTTAAGAAATTGTACAATAGGCAAGTGATGGATAAATGGGCTTGTGATTTCTTAAATCAACAAAGCAATGAAATGCATGTGATTTGAATTCTTGCCTAAACCTTAGACCATGGAACTGGATGTGACTTTCTACATTCAACTGTTTACTCAAAGCTAAATCACAAACAGGAAAGAAATCTTGTCTTTGCACTGAGCGTTTTTTCCCTCCACAGTCAGTAAGTACGTCAGTTCCAAATAGAAACATCCAAGGCAGGTGCAAGGAAATACACACTTTAAGTTAGCCGATACTCATTTTGTTTTTGAGAGGCTAATTTTCCACACTTTCTAAAGAAAGAGCAAAGCTTGATGAAAAGCCTGGCAAGCGGTGTTAAATTAACAGAGAAGACATACCGAAAAGAAGTGCAGCATCTTATTCTCAGAGATTAATCGTATCTTTCTCTTTTCTTCTAATTTGCAGAAGCTGACAGCAGTCAGAATTATGTGACAACAGAGCCTCAGCTGATCTTCTATCCCAGCATTACCTATGCAATCATTGGCAGCTCGGCTATTTTTGTGTTGGTAGTGGCCCTCCTTGCCCTAATTTTGCACCATCAGCGAAAACGCAACAACCTCATGACACTTCCCGTACATCGACTGCAGCATCCTGTCCTCCTGTCTCGACTTGTTGTCCTTGATCATCCACATCAGTGCAATGTCACCTACAATGTTAACAATGGGGTCCAGTATATGTCTAACCAGGGCTACCACAGACCGCCAGATTTAGATTCACCACCATCCTATTCAGAAGCTGTGCTAGATCAAAGGTATATATGCAGTAGTGTAACTAGTGGAGTATCACCTATGTTTCCAAACCCTTTGTTCTGGTTTTTTTTTTGTACACCCAATGCTTCTCTTTCGTGATAGTTTTCCTTAACAACTTCACCACCCTTGCTTCATTAGCACTTATTTTGCTGGGTTGGTGCCTCATAAACTGCTTCAGTATTTAGACCCAAAGTTATTGAGTCCTGTCCAGCTATTTATTATCATTAAGGCAAGTCACAATTGCTGCAGTTTGGACTTTGGTTTTCATAGAATCAGAATTGGAAAGACCATTTCACCACTGAGTGTAACTTCCTACTCAATACAGGAATCCACTTTAAAGTTCTGCTGACAGAATGTTATCCATCCTCTGATTTCAGAAATGATTCTTTCAGAACTGAAGTGTGCCATGGAAATACATGGAGTCCATCTTTTGGTCATACCTACCAATTTAACTCATCAAAATGAATTGGGGTTTATTCAGTGTAGGTGCCATTTTCAATTAATGATGCCTTTGGTATACTACTCAAGATGCACTTGAGCCAACACCATGCCATTCCCATCCCATGAAAAGGTCACTTTTCACTTGTGTTTGCTGCTATCTTTAAAAAAGTCTGAGGTAGATATGTACAATACTTCCAGGATAGTGAAGAACAGAGCCCTGAGCAAAAACTATTTTTTTAAAAAACCATGCAGAATGTTGGGCTACTGTTGCCATTGTTGCCTGAAACTGGAGGGAGGAAGAAAGCCCACACATACCTGCTTTCAAATGCCACATATAGTGGACATTTCTGCCCTTCATTGGGACTGCCTGGGGACCGCTTAATCATCATAGCATAATTAAAAACAAATTCAGTGTTTAAAAAGCTTACCCTTGAGTAAACGGGCAACAAGTCGCGCTTCACCATTAATGGTATCACTTAATGTCCATGAGATTCTTACAAATCGATCACAGTTTCCATTTCAGGGACAACCGGTTGTATTTCTTGGTAACAATATATTGGGGTCTGTGCTTTAAGAAATATGTAACATTCCTACTATAGAAGAGTAACCTTGGGAGAACCATCCGGATCCATTAAGGAAAATTAAAAATCCATTTAAAATGTCATTCCCTCCCCCCCCCGACAAATGGTGTGGGGGGGGTGTTAATACTAAATTATGGCAACTAACAGTTCATCACTGACTGATACACATGTGCATTCTGAAAAATTTGATTTAACTCCCCAAGATCTTAAGATGTAGCACTTGAAAGTCAGTGAGAAGTCCCTTTCATCAACAGATACTAATTCAATATTATTTGTCTGGGAACTAAACTGCAGTTTTTTTGTTTTTAATGTATGAAGCCAATCCATTAATTTCTTGGCTTTGCTACTAAGGTTCGTATTGATTCCAGTGGTATTACGGGGATGGGTGGCTGCAGCTTTTGTAATGCTGATCGACTTCTACTATTTCTTCAATTTGGTCCTACAGTCCAATTCTATATCATCGCAACTCTGCGTGTAGGAAGAACAATCATCATTGTAATGAATTAAATGTTTTCTAGTCTCATGCCATCTGTTGCAAAAAACACAAATCATTTTATGTTTTCATATGGGGAGGAGCCATTCTAAGTATATTTTTGAGATGAAGGATAGACACAATACTTTTAAACAGGATTGCTCCACCCCTCCTCATTCTTTCTAGTGCATGGTAAGACCATCTTCCCCTGCAGTAACATAGAGTAACGATAAACAATTTTATTATGTTTGTGAAATACCAGAATATCCCTTGAGGAGCTTGGCTCTTGGTGGCTTCCTGAGGAAGCCTATGTGGTTTTCTTGGCCACAATACAGAAGTTGTTTGCCTTGCCACCTTTTTTCTTCTCTTTAATCTAGTCAACCGCCCTTGGATTTCCTGTGGGTCTCTCATCCACATCATAAGCAGGTCTAACTTTGCTTAGCTTCTCCAACATCACCCAAGGGTATGTGCAATTTCTCTGAGCTGAGAGCCGAAGTTGGCCTTGGAGTAGTGTGCCAGGGATTGCGCATCGAAAAGTAAAATTCTTAAAATTTATCATGCTCATTATTTTTCTCTTCCAGTCACATCAAAAATAGCAGTTAAATAACAGTGGGGATCTATGGGGGTGGTACCCAAGTAGGCCTCAGGTGGTGGTATCCCCAAGTCAGGCCAAGCAGTACTGGGTACAGGCTGAATGGATATTTCTGCCTTCAGGACAAACATTACTTGTTGGAAGTCAATCCATCAAGTCAGTTCTATTGCGACTTGGTCTTTCAAGTAATGAACATTTTGTATGTACCCTTATTGTAGTATGGTAACTAGATCTGGGCCACTTTCCCAGGATCAAGGGCTAGAACTCACTCCCCTGATCAGCTGGAAGCTGTAAGTGATGTCACTGGAAGAGTAGTGGTGTTACAGGATAAGCTGAGCCTTTTTCCCCCCCCCCCTGGATTTCCAAGGATTTGAGCCATCTGAGAAGCAATATAATCCCCTTTCCATTCTTAAACTCCTTCAAATTGGCCTTCTGGGTGTCACAAATGGGATGGTGGGTAGCATATGTGGCAGGAGTGGTCCATCTCTGCCTTTATAACTTGGTGAAGCAAAATTCAAATGCTGTTTATTTCATACATCCAGTAACTTGGCATCTAATTTATACTTTGCAGCAGACCCCCATGGTTTGATCTTCCTCCACCTCCATATTCCTCAGAAACAGGATCCCAGAATCATTTAGGCCTCCCTCCATATCGTTCTAGAACTGGAAGTGTGGCAAGCACAGATGCTACAGAAGCAAGAAGTCCAGAGATTGTGGACAGCCGTCCATCAAGAAGCCTTTTTGCTAGTATGGAGTATCACAGTACGCTGTGTGAAATTACAGCTGAGCAAAGTGACTCTCTGATCAACTCAGTTTCTGTCTGAGAACTGTAAGCAATTATTTATGCACATTTTTATGGATGTCTGCTTGAACTTGTACTGAAACTAAAAAGTCCCAAGTCATTTGGCCTCTTTCTACTTGATGATTGCAAGTGCTATTGTGAAAGGAACAAGAACTATGTGAACTCCCATTAAACAACTTTCCTCAATCATTTCAAGGGAGAATGAGCAAGAAAAAGTGCCAGTGACCTTAGTCATGCTAGATTTAACTACTGAATTATGAAATGGTTGGAACAATTGAGAACATCAGTCGATTTTCAATGCTCTCTATCATAACATGCTGTTAAAGCATATCAGGTATTTACTAGAATTCATGTATTGAAATCAAATATATACACACGTGCCTCAATACATGCCTGTATTTCAAATGATCTCTATGTGGTTTTTAAATTTCTTATTTATGACTGTAAAAGTGTATATAACAATAATAGCAAATGAACCTTGTATTATGCAACTATTGATTGTGTTGCTGATGGCATCTGGAAGTCCACTCAACAGAAAAATGAAGCTCTGAAGAGTCATGGGAAATATCCTGTGTACAATTTAACCTGTTTTGTGTTTAAATCACAGACTCTGCTATGAAGTAAACTATTATTAATTTAGTAAGAAAAATTAACAAAAGGATTTTAAGCCACCTAAACATTAATGGAATTTGAGCTGACAGTCACGGACTAGGAAATGGATCTTAGAGTCATGGTGGGCAGTTCAATGAAGATACCAACCCAATATGCAGCTGTTGTTAAAAAAGAAAAAAAGGAAAGGAATTCCATGTTTGGAATCATTGGAAAGGGAATTGAAATAGAATTGCTAATATCATAATGCCCTTATATACATCTGTGTTGTGATTATACTTGGAATATTGTGTGTGGTTCTGCTCACAGCACATTAAAATGATACAGAACTAGAAATGGTGCAAAAAGGGAAACTGAAATTATTTGGAAGCTGAAGCAGTTCCCCAGCAAGGAGAAACTATAGTTTGAAATGAAGGAGGTTAAGGGATACAGTATAGAAGTCTACAAAATCATCCATAACATCAGTAACATGATCGGAGAGAAGTTTTCTCCCTCTCTCTGTGTTAGAACTTGAGATCATTCATTGACACAAAATGCAGGGCGATTTAGGACCAACAAAAGGAATTACTCTTTTATACAACAGATAGTTAAACTGGAATTTACTGCCAGCAGTTGAGTAATAGCAGCCAATTTGGATGGCTTTAAAAGGGGATTGGACAGGTTCATGGAGGATCAGGCTATCAAGGACTACTTTTATTGGTGGCCATTTACTTTCTCCTGAATCATAGTCAGCATGCCTTATATACTGGAGGCTATCTCCTTTCAGTCCAGGTTTGAGATTCCCAAAATAGTTCTATTCTGTGATCCAGAATATGAGACTACATAACCCTACAGCCCAAATGAACAAGGCTCTTATGTTCTTATTCATCCGGTTATCACAATGTGCCTCATTTCAGCTTTCTTCCTGATAGTGAAGAATCAAAAAGTCTACCTTGTATTCTTTTGTAATTAGTATGTGTATCTTAGGAGTTGAGTAAACCAGATTTTAGCATTCTACCTTGCATAGGTGTAATTTAACAATTTGGTGGCTCATTTGGGCTACCTGTTTTGACAGATGTACAACTCTCTCTTTCTCTCTCTCGTCTTATCATGAAGGGTGTTCAGGTAGTTTATGTGTCAAAATGCAGCTTTCTGGTTGTCTGAAAAATTAATATATTTAGTCTGGGCATGCTTTGAATTTCTCATTTTAAGGGAGAAGATTACAAATGTTCCATTTCCTCTCTCTGCGTGTACGTATCTTTGAGAGAGATTCAGAGTGCCTTGAAATTCATATATCAGTTTGCAGAGCTAAAGCTTATTAGACTTCTTGGGGAATATCTTTCATACTGTGAGACTTCTTACAGAAAAAGGTACCTTGGTAGCATTTCCTTGTTGAGGAATCATAGGACTGATTCATAGGGCTGATTCATTCCTTACATAGCATGCTTATTTGCCACATATACTCCATTATTTAGGTTGTCAGTATGAGGTGGAGGTAGATACCAGCCCTTCTTTGTATATATTTACAAACATGCACCTCTCATACATACCACACCATTTATCTGTACTGGTGTGTGCACCCCACATCCCATTTTGGAATGGTGTGAATCATCTTTTTGAATTATTAGTGGTTGGGCATTATTCATGTAGCTCTAGATCAGTGAAATAAGAACCAAATGGTTTTAAAAGCATGGCAGCAAGTGTTGTTTTCTTTACCCAAATGTAGGTGTAGGAGTCGTAATGCTTATTGGGAGCATAGAATGGGCATTTTAACCCATTGCCTGCCTTCGTGTCCAATCCAGCTCAGGAGCCTAGGCCCTGACCTTGTAATTGTCCAAAATGTGTAATTTGTTAAGGTTTCCAGCAATACAAAGTTCAGGCCCAAGCCATCTGTTCTGAACTGGCACTGAATTAGCAAGAAAAGTTAAAGCTGTTTCCTTCTTTTTGGGGAGTTTCATCTGGATTGGAGTGGCACGACAGTTTTTAAGTAAAGACAAAAAGGCATAGCAGTTAGTTATATATTTAAAGTAATGTTTTATGCGACCCAAAGGTACTGTTTTATTGAATTCAGTTTGTGTTCATTCAATCATTGTCCTTTCTACAATACAATACATTGTCTTTAAGCTGTATATATGTATATTTCTGTTGAAATACTTGGGTTTGGATTCTTAAAATAAATCCCTTTTTCTAACTGTACCTTTTCATTTCCTGTTAGAGGTTTGAATTAATCAAGAGCCCCTATTAGAGTATATGTCCCTGAACATAAGCAGAGTGCTGAAAGAATACTGAGTAATTATGTAGCAGAACATCCCATTTAAAAAGTAAAATAAACGTTGCTTATCATATAGTTGTCTTGGACGCAGGATAGAGATTTAGCCTACTATCTGTGAATGCTAATGGACCTTCATTACATCTGAAGTAAAGACAAATTAAGAAATGTAGAAGGATAGAAAATCTGGAATCAACCAATGACCGGGGAACTGGGAATGGGAGGGAATCAGGAGACGGGGAGGGCAAGCAATATCATAGAGATTGTGATGGGCAGGGGTAAGTGTGGTGGGATTCTAAGGGCAAGCTGCACTCCAAGATGCCAGGTCACTGCTAGAAAGACAGCCTGATAGATGGCCCTTGGTACGCATTCCAGGTAGCAGCTGATCAGATTCTTGGCAGCCCTGGGCTTCAGCTGTTGCTTGTGAATGCCAGGTCAATTTATAATAAATCTCTCATCCATGATCTTATTGAGAATGAGGGGGTTGACCTGGCGTATATAACTGAGAACTGGGTGGGCTCACAGGTATGTTCCCCTCTCAGAAGTATTCCACTCAGATTTTGGATTTTGCATCTGTTGGAACTCCAGGGGAGGGGCAGTGGAGCGGCCACCTTTTTACATGAGTCATTGTAGGCTCTCAGAGGTACTGTACCACAGATAACCAGATGTGAGGCTCTGGTTGAAGTTGGGCCTTAGGAAACAGATGGAATTGTTGCAGTACCACCCTTTCTTCCCTATGGTATCATCCCTGCTTGAGCTGCTGGGTTCTGTCCCTACGGTAGTTTAGCAGACCCCAAGGCTATTAGTCTTGGGGACTTCAATTTACCATGTGGTGTAGAGATTAAGGAACATAACCTTGATGGAGATCCGTTACCAAAGCAACAAGGGTGAAACATATCTTAAGTCCAGAACAGACAGAAAATATGCAGAAGTGGCTCAGACAGACACATCCCTAATTCACAGAAGTATAAGGGGGAGAAGGTTCAGCACAATCAGATTTGCAAGATTCTGTTATTAGAGCCACTTTTTATAATTAGATAGGATGCTAACTGGCCAAAAGAGTTGCCTCAGCTATGGCCTGTTGAGGAAAGCCAGTGGGATCACCCTTCCCTCAGTTCAGCTGAGGCCTTGGGTGCAGCCTGGAATTGATGTGACCCAGAGGTCTTGGACCATGTTGCTTCTATGTGGCCCTTCCTATGCACCTCAGTTTTCTGAGGAGCTCCAGGAGATGAAATGCCAGAAAAATATCTAAAGTACTATTGAAGAAAGACAGAGTCATATCATTCAGGTTTCAGACGAGGGTACAGTACGGAGACAACATTGGTCCTACTTGTTGATGACCTTTGGTGGAGCTGAGATGGGGTAGTGCATCCTTGATCTCTCAGTGGCTTTCAATACTATCTACCATGGTATCTTTCTGAACGATCTGTGGGGTGTGGTAGTGGAGGCATTGTGTTGTGGTGGCTCTCCTCCTTTCTGTATGGTGGGTTCCAATCAGTGTGTGTGTGTGTTTCAACTCAAGGCAATGAACATGCATAATACTCCTGCCTCCTATTTTCCCAAGAACAACTTTGTGAGCTGGGTTGGGTATTGATGGGGAGAGAGGTTATTTCCATGGTTCCTCGCTTGCCTCAGGGCTCAACACTTTCATCCTTCCTGTTTAATACTTATATGAAACCACTGGGTCAGGTCATCCATTAATGTGAGGTCCAGTATCATCAGTATGCAGATGATACCCAACTGTACATTTCAAACCTAAGCAGCTCAAGTGATGCTGTCAATATCCCGAGGCTGGCTGTTCAGGTCTGGATGGGGGAGGAATAGACTCAGGCTCAATCCTGCCAAGAACAAATGCCTATAGCTATTTAGACCCCCATGGATGTCAGAATTTTTAATCTTTGGCCTTGGACCACAACAGTTACACATCTGATGCTAGTATACAACTTGGGGATCTTCCTGGAATCACAGCTACTGCTCGAAGAACAGGTGGCAGCTGTGGCCAGGAGGGCCTTTGTACAGGTCCAGGAGGTCCTTCAGAAGGTCACTCAAGCTCTAGTCATCTTGCAGCTGTACTGTTACATTGCTTTCTACATAGGGCTGTCCTTGAAGACCACCTAGAAGCAACAGCTGGTCCAGAATTCAGTAATACAGGCAGTAATGGCCATATCATGGTACACCTATGTGTCATCACTGCTCCACGAGTTGCATTGGTTGCTGGTTGGCTTCTGGGTGCAATTCAAGATGCTGGTTGTCACCTATAAAACCTTTCATGGTATAAGGCCTTGTTATTTGAGGAACCACAAATCTCCAGTGGTTTCTACCCATCCAGGACAGAGCAAGGGCACTCTTGGGTCCCCTCAGTTAAACAATGTCATCTAGTAGGACCCCAGAAGTGTACCTTCTATGTGACAATGCCAGCCCTCTGAAACACCATCTTCCCAGAAATGTGCATGGCTTCCAACCTACAAAGGTTCTGTAAGTGTTTAAAACTTGGCTTTGCTCCCAGGCCTGAGGTTAAGTTGTTTGTATGGCCCCTGGCAGGTTTTCTTTGGTAATATATTGACAATTTTGTCTGGATGGACATGTCATTTTCTCTTTTTCTTGTTTTTTTTTTTAAACTATATAAGCCACCCAGACATATTTTAGAGTCAGGTGGCCTTCTAAATCTAAGAAAACAAACAAACAGTTCTTCTGACAGTATGAAGTTTCAGCTCCTTACATTCACTTAAGTTTAAACTAAACATCTTTTCCTCCCAGCCTTCCCACCTCTTACAGGAAATCCAGCTTTGTACTTTTCATGCTTAATGCTAGGGGGCAGTTCATTATTGTTGTTCTCAGCATTCATGCCTGGAAAACTCTTTTTCCCCCTGTATCTTCCACATCTGGCACAAGATGTGTTGCATCCCAGAAGGATTGGTAAAAATGTGTTAGCCAAAAGATGGCAACTCTGATTAAGAGGCTTAAACTGAATCCTGTGATTTGTGGAGACAAAAGCTCTGAAGATAAAGGCTTATGTGCTGTAGAAGGAAGTCTGAATGTTGCAATAATGGGGCCTTATTAAAACAGTGAAAAATGAGAAAGAATATTGTCTCATAAATTTCATGGCCTTTGTTTTCTGTACCTTCTTGCTCAGAATATGGGAAATAAACAATATGACCTCAAACTATGAAAAGCAAATATGATTTAATAGTATAACAGAAACCAGGTGGGGGTGAATCCTATGATTGGAATACAGCAGATGAAGGATACAGTTTGTTAAAAAAATAACAAGAGGAATAGAAAAGGAGAAAGAGTAGCACCATGTGTTAAAACTATGCACTCCTGGCAACTGGGCATTTTAGAACTTGGTATGTTTACCTTGAGAAAAGACAAATGAGGACCTTATGATAGCAATCTTCAAATATCTACAAAGGTTTCACATAGAAGGTCAAGATCTCTCCCGCTTTGTAATAGAGTGCACAAGAGATTTAAGTTATAGGAGGAGAGGTTCTGATTGAATATTATGGGAAAAAATCCCAACAGTGAGAGTCGTTCAACAATCAAACTAAATACCCAAGGAGGGAGTGGATTCCCCTTCTTCAGATGTGTCAAGCAGAGGCTAGTAAGCCATGTGTCTATGATGCTTTAATTTGGATTCCTACAATGATTGTCTAAATGGCCCTTTTGAACTTGATTCTATGGCTCCAAAAAAGCTTAGTAAAGAATTGGAAAGAAATGGAGTGGGGAGAGAAGGAGTATAGAAGATGGAAATGGAAAGAGAACCAAGTCACCAAGGGAGAGCAGATACATATAGTCTGGAGCTAAAAAGTGGATGTCAGGAAAGCTAAAGCTTAAGTATGGTAAGAACAACAGAAAGGGCTTCTTAAGGTAAGTTCAAAATAACAGGAAAAAAAGCAACATTCCAACTTTTCAATGAAGACCATAAATCCTAACGATCCTAAGAAAAGGCAGAACCTTTTGGTTTATCTTCCTTCAAAAAAGAAAGTAATTATTTTGTCAAGAAATTGTGAAGAATGGAATGAAGTGACTGGATTGGAAATTGAGACTGATAGAAACATATTGAGGATATACCCATTTACTTTGAATGAGATTAAATATGTATGACCAGATGACTTACACTGTAGGGTACAAAAGTAACTAGTTGATTTTATTAGACAAAGTTTTATTATGACATTTCAGGAATCTTACAAGTATGAGTGAAGTACCAGATAACAATGTAATTTATTAATAGATTATGAAAATGCTTTAGACATAATATCTCTTGATTTCAGCAAAGGATTTGGCAAAGTAGCATTCTGATTACCAAAGTAGTTGAGTGAGGTTTGATGGCAGGACAATTATTAATTTAATGTTATTAGTATATTTATACCCTTCTGCGGTCCCACAGAACTTTTATTAGATTACAGAAGTACTGAAACAATTAAAACATCCATGGGTCAGAATGAAAAATAAAAAAGACCTAAAACAGATAAAATAAACTCAAATCCTGGCATCTTCTCCAAACCACTTTTCAGAAGAGCTCTGTTTTTAGCTCTTTCTGGGAGGTAGCTAAGATCAAGGTTAACCTAAGCTTTAGTGAGAGGTCATTCCAGAGGCCCAGAGTTGCTACTGAGAAGCAGTGCCTCCAAGCCTTCTTTCCTCACACCTCCCAGAAGTGGGGAACTTCCAGCTGCTTTTCCAGGCAACAGTGAATTGGCTAGGTTGATTCTAATGGGTGAATCCAGTCCTGAAGATATCAAGCCATAAAAGGCTTTATAGAGCAACAGTAGTGCTTTAAATTGCACCCAGAAGCCTATGGAAGCCAGTGGAGGGCATAGTGCACTCCCATTGACAAATGCCAGATAGTACGTAGGTCACTGTACATTGCAGTAATCCAG